ACATCTGGAGAGGATAAGCAACTAAACCAGAAGATTCCGAACGCCTCTCACGCTTCTCATTCGCTCATAGCTGGTTCATGTGAGCATTGGGCGGATATTCAGGAATAGATCGGCTCGCGGGTGAGAGGCTTTGGCCTATGATGGTTCGTCACGGCGGATCTTCCCCCCGCATTACTTCAATTTTGCAATCAAACCCAATTGTTGATTGGATCAAGGATATATTACTGTCTATCAGCAGCCTTGAACATCCCCCGCTTTCTGCAATGCGGGGAATATCCCCGTCGACCTTCTTCAACGGCCCACCGCCATTCGATCATTACCGGCTCCCAAAAACCTGATCTGCTGACCCTCTCGGCATTCTTGGAGGAGTCGTCCTGTCTATGAAACGACTTGCCAGCCTCGGTTCTTGAGCTTCATGTGCCTTTAGGATGGCTGGTTTTTGTGTCCTGACGCTATGTTTGCTCTCTTCTTCGCGGTTGACTTGTCGCCCTGAGCATCCAGTGGTACCCCAAATATCAGGCTGACATTTCTCGGTCCCTGCCAAATCGGGTCTTCTTCTCCGTCTCTGCGATGATTGACAGGGGTTAGTCCTGATTTTCTGGGCTAAAGTGCGTGAGGAGCGTCAGATATGGATCTTCTTGTCACAGCCGGGGCATGCCCCGATATGTACCGAACATATCGAGAACAACGGGGTCCAGACCGAGGAGACATGTGCATCTAGATACAGACTGGGTGATGGCTGGGGAATCAATGAAGGATAAGTACTGCGTACGCCCGCTTCTTCCAACTGATGGGACTTGAAATGGACAGGCCTCTTCCCAGTGTCCTCTTGCCTTCAGACCCATAGGCTGAACAGGCTGACCGACGCAATGCATCTCATCCGGACTCTTCTGCCCCTTCTGGCCCTTTCACCCGCCGTGCTGGCGGCCCCGGCCAAGCGATCTGCGCCTACTGTCACGATCGCATCTCCCGCGGCCACCATTGTTGGGTCTTCCGGCACGGTAGAGAAGTTCAATGCCATCCCCTTCGCCCAGCCACCCACGGGATCCTTGCGTCTGAAGCATCCTCAGCCGATCGAGACCTCCCTGGGCACTGTTGACGGCACTGGCAGCGCCAGGTCGTGCCCGCAATTCTATTTCTCGACGGACAACAGCGAGTTTCCCGGGTCCATCACGGGCCTATTGGCAAACATACCCCTCTTCCAGACTGTGACAAATGCCGGAGAGGATTGTCTGACGCTGAATGTCGCCCGTCCGTCCGGCACAACGCCAGACTCAAAGCTGCCGGTCCTGGTGTGGATCTACGGCGGAGGTTTTGAGCTGGGCTCAACGGCCATGTATGATGGCACTTCGCTGGTGGCAAGCTCAATCGACCTGAAAATGCCAATTATCCTTGTCGCGATGAACTATCGAGTGGGAGGATTTGGGTTCATGCCCGGAAAGGAGATCCTTGCGGATGGCGCGGCCAACCTGGGGCTCTTGGACCAACGCTTGGCCCTGCAGTGGGTGGCGGACAACATCGCAGCCTTCGGCGGCGATCCCGACAAGGTGACCATCTGGGGAGAGTCCGCGGGCTCCATCTCTGTCTACGATCAAATGATCCTGTATGATGGCGACAATACCTACAGGGGGAAGCCACTGTTCCGGGGCGGCATAATGAACTCGGGTAGCGTGATCCCGGCGGATCCCGTAGACGGGGTCAAGGGCCAGCAGGTATATGATGCGGTTGTGGACTATGCCGGCTGCTCATCGGCGGCAGACACGCTGGAGTGTCTGCGCGGATTGGACTACACTGATTTTCTAAATGCGGCCAACGCTGTGCCGGGTATCCTGAGCTACCATTCGGTGGCCTTGTCATATTTGCCTCGACCGGACGGCAAGGTAATCACTGCCAGTCCGGACGTCTTGGGCAAAACGGGCAAATACGCGGCCGTACCAATCATCATCGGCGATCAGGAGGATGAAGGGACGCTCTTTGCGCTCTTCCAGTCCAACATCACCACAACCACTCAGGTTGTGGACTACCTGGCCAAGTATTTCTTCTATGGGGCGACGCAGGACCAGCTCGAAGAGCTGGTGGCCACATACCCGGACGTCACAACAGACGGCTCGCCCTTCCGCACAGGCATCTTCAACAACTGGTACCCGCAGTTCAAACGATTGGCGGCCCTGCTCGGCGATCTCACCTTCACCCTGACGCGCCGAGCATATCTCAAATACGCGACGGAGATTAAACCCGACCTGCCCTGTTGGTCATACCTGTCATCGTACGACTATGGGACTCCCATCATGGGAACTTTCCACGGCAGTGATATTCTGCAAGTGTTTTATGGCATTCTGCCGAATTACGCGTCGCGAGCGATTCACACGTACTATTTCAGCTTCGTGTATGATCTAGATCCGAACTCGCGCCGGGGTAGTCTTATGGAATGGCCGCAATGGAATGAAGGCCAGCAGCTGATGCAGTTCTTCAACGACCATGGGGCATTGCTGGCCGACAATTTCCGCAATGACACGTACAACTTCATTCTGGAGAATGTGGATTCATTCCATATCTAGTTTAGTATATAATCTGCGACATGCGCATTACGACTCCGATTAACTGCGATGAATTAATGAATGGATATGATTTGACCGATGATCCCATCTTGCAGAAACGGATCGATAGTTGGCCCACCGTAAGATTGGTGCATGACTCGCAGGAGAATTAGATTCCACCAAGCTTTCTTCTTCGACGCAATAAAAAGCCACAGCTGGCAGTCTGCAGAGGTCCTCCATCGACAGGGGACGGCGATTTTGCGAGCCGCGGTCGATGGCCTACTAGATTGATTGGAAGAGAGATGCCAGGCTATATTGCAGTTCATCGATCTATGCAACATAGATTCGGACATCACTTCAGACCATAGCGACAATACGCCTTTTCAGAAAGTAGGACAGTCTACATAAAGACGACCATCACCACGCAGTTATCGAACGGAATTAACACAACCTTTCCAACAACGGCTCCTGTTCCATACATACTTGGGATTCTGACCTTGGGATCAAGCGCATTCGCCGCTTAATCTCATCTTTTCCGCCAGTCTTCGGATGTGGACTCATGGCTCATGACCGAGGTAGAGTATGCGCGCACCACGATCCTGGTACTTCATCATGCCCTTGTGGACTTTGTACTGATCGCTCAGACTTCTACATGTGCACCAGCGACTCCGCCCTAGTCATGAAGACGCTCGTGGACCTGTTCATGAATGGTGATGACGGCCTTTTGTCTACTTTCAGGAGCACTTCAGCGCCCAGGCTATCATCTAGAACGTTTCCAACCTGTCCGGGGATCTTTCGAATGTTTGGCTTCGTGAGCATTGTCGTATGTTCCCTTTGCTTTCATTCTCGATTGCGTTTTCACGGCTCTAATCCCCGTGATAAGGAAACATATTCCCTGTCCAACGGCTCATGCTCGAACAATACTCCAAGGCTGATGACTCGTAGCTGTCTGCCCGTGATTTGACCTGGTCTTATGCCGCCCTATCGACAGCCATCAGCGGCCGCATGGGGCGAAACATCTGCTAGCAGCGTTTCCGCGACATGTTTCGCCACATCCGCCACAAGGACCTATTTCAGCGTGACAATCACCCGATGACCCAGTAGGCTCACCAGCTCAGGAGCTACGACTACTACTAGGCGACGTCCACAACCTCCAAGACTACAACTACCGCTTGCACGACCTCGACCTCGGTGGCCGTTACTTTCGATGTGCTGGTGACAGCTACCTACGGGGAGATGATCAAGATCGCCGGCTCGGTTTCCGACTTGGGAGCTGGGATACAGATGATGCTGTGGCCTTAAATGCGGACGAATACACGTCGGGCAATCCCCTGTGGACGGTGAGAGTGGATCTTCCTGCAGGAGAGGAGCTGGAATACAGGTACTTTGCGTTGAGGAGGACGGAACGGTGGAGTTGCATGATCATCATACTATCAAATGGCATCATACTGGAATCATGTCTGGCCTAGTATAGAAAGCTTCTTAGGCGAATCTCAACTCTCAAACGAAAACACAACTTCTACTGGAGTGTGTGGACGGGGCTATGGGCTATCTGAGTCATGTTAGTCAGAGACATGATTTAGGCGAGATACCCTGTTGATTCAAGCAACTGACTCGCCTTTGATACCTGTGCTAACATTGATGAGCTCATCTTAAGGCGGAGCACGTAATTGCTTCGGCCCACAGCAGACTAACTCTACTCTGGTATAGTCAATTGGCTTTCTATATTCTGGCTCCAATTGATTCAATCTCTCTGTATCTTGAATATACATGAATCAAAGTATCTACAGCCGATATCATCATGTGGACTGCTTCAACTGCCGCCTTGTGCATCCGATGGGGAAATCCGGGGAAAACGAGCAAGGTTCAGGATCCCAGACTGCAGGCAATAAATGCCGACATATACATAATACCTGGTCTAGGTAGTATATAAGCATTTCGCCGTGACTCCTGATTAGCCAGAGCTGCGATGCAACTTGTCGTTATTGGCTGGAAATGGAGCCAGAGTGGGCTAAAACGGCAATTTCCTCGACTCCCACGCTTCTTGGCCTTTTCCCTCCTCCTATGACATCCCATCGTGAACATTAGCTTCTGGTCCAATTGTGGACTTATCATGGTATTCGTCGCTCAGATCTTTGGAGATCAGAATTATTGACCTTTTTGCCGACCGGCAATCCTGATTCACTGAATCACTGATTGTTGACTTCTTGCGGATCAACACAGCCCTTGCGCGGAAACTCTCCTGTTTCAGCTGCATCTCTCAGCTCTGAGAGTTGACCGCCAGAGTCAGAGTCTTGAATGAAAGGAAGCACTGAACTATTTAATCGCATCATCCCGCTGTCATAAGATGCAATATTCTCGCATATCCACACGTCAATCTCTTAAAAGCTGCAAGCTCACCGCCACAACGTCACTGTGCAAGCCTCCCTTCTTATCACTTTGTGCTTTTCGATTCTCTTGAACATGAAGCTTCATGGTCTCATAGCCCTTTCCGGGCTTCTAGCGGCCTCAGAGGCTGTATCCTCCGGCCAGGATACCCTCATCCTGCCCAGGAAGCAGGAAAAGCGGCAGCCGAACGTGCTGTTTATCATGTCCGACGATCAAGATTTGGAACTGAATTCCCCAGCCTTCACGCCGTATATCCGGAAACATATCCGAGACAAGGGCGTCGAGTTTACCAATCACTTCGTGACAACCTCCCTCTGCTGTCCGTCGCGGGTCAGTTTGTGGACGGGGCGGCAGGCTCACAACACCAATGTAAGTATTGTGTCTGACAGGAAGGGCGGGAACGATGGCTGACAGAATGCGCAGGTTACAGATGTCTCGCCACCATGGGGTGCGCTGGCTTTTCTCGCCTGAAACACATGGGTAGATGCTGACGAGAGAATAGGAGGATATCCCAAATTCGTGTCGCAGGGTTTCAACGAGGCCTGGCTCCCGGTGTGGCTGCAGGAAGCCGGCTACAACACTTACTACACGGGTAAACTCATGAACGGCCACACGACGAGTAACTACAACTCCCCCTTTCCCAACGGGTGGAATGGATCGGACTTTTTGCTTGATCCATACACATATTCCTATCTCAACTCCACTTACCAGCGGAATCGCGAGCCCCCCAAGAGCTATGCAGGCAACTATACGACAGACGTGATTACAGAAAAGGCCTTGGGCTTTCTCAATGACGCCCTAAGCAGTGACCGGCCATTTTTCCTTGCCGTTGCTCCCATTGCGCCGCATTCCAACATTGATCCTAGTGCGCTGGGCCATGGGGGCACGAAGGGTACATTGATGACCGCTCCCATTCCTGCGGAGCGACACAAGAATCTCTTTCCAGATGCCAAAGTGCCGCGGACGGCCAATTTCAACCCCAAAGTGCCTACCGGAGGCGGTTGGGTGCAGAACCTACCGCTGGCAAATCAGACTGTCATCGACTACCAGGATCATTTCTACCGCCAGCGATTGCGCTCGCTACAGGCGGTGGATGAGATGGTTGATGCTCTTATCACGCGACTGGAGGAAAGTGGTCAGGCCGAAAACACGTATATTATCTACACTGCGGACAATGGGTTCCACATTGGCCAGCACCGGATGCCGCCTGGTAAGTCGTCTGGATACGAAGAAGATATCCACGTCCCTTTCTATATCAGAGGACCCGGCATCCCCGAGGGCATTGACGACGACTCGGTCACCACACACATTGATCTGGCTCCGACCTTCTTCAAGCTTGCTGGGATCCCTCTGCGAGAGGACTTCGATGGCACTCCGATGTCTATCGCAAAGGGTGCCAAAGGCATCGCCCACGAACATGTAGCAGTGGAATTCTGGGGTAAATCGCCGCTGGAGGGAGAATACGGCGCCTTGGGTGAGTTCAACTGTTGACAAGTGTCTTGTCCAAGCATTACTGACGACTCGCAGCACCTGGCGACTCGTTCTCCATGCCCAACAACACGTACAAATCCGCCCGTATTGTTGGCAACGGATACAGTCTGTACTACTCGGTCTGGTGCAACAACGACCACGAGCTGTACGATATGCACCAAGATCCCTACCAGGTCAATAATCTCTATACCAACGCCAATGCGACGACCCCTCATCTACTCGGCCGCGATCTGTCCAACGTCATCTCCCGACTTGACGCGCTGCTGATGGTTCTCAAGTCATGCAAAGGCGATACCTGCATCCAGCCGTGGGACGTGATCCATCCGGATGGCTCGGTGAAGGATCTACGGGATGCGTTGAACAAAAGGTATGATGAGTTCTATCGTGCCCAGCCCAAGGTCTCGTACTCGGCCTGCGAAGGAGGGTATATTGTCAGTTCGGAGGGACCACAGAATGGATTGGTCTATCGCGATGGATTGAGCTGGGAGGCCTGGACTTGATACATTATGTACGTATAGAAGATAGACAGTCAACTAGATTCAGATTGCTGGATATATACAGCAATTAGAATGCACAAGAACCTTAAAATAGCTCCTTTTGAATACTCATTCAGAATTGACGTCAATAGTACTGCCGGTCTCGCAGGGTTCGGCTTCAGAGTACCTTATAGTCCGAGCAGGCCTTCTGGAACATCAATATGTCGCTTAACCATTCATTTTAAAATCTCAGATAACATCATTGAATGCCATTGGAGAGAAAGGCAGAGTCGAGTCAACTGGCGATCGCTAGCGGAAACGTCAAACAGACTATGATTGCGCCATTCTGCCTGCTGCTCACTCAATCAGTCGTTACACAATGACAACAGCGGACGCGCAATTCATGAGTCGACAGTATGCCCGCAAGAGGAATTGCTGGAAATATCTAAAGACAGCACGGTGTCAGCAACTGCGTTGACAAATTCCCAGCAGAAACCCCATTCCACCATGGCGATACAACACCCCGTCTCCGGGGACCTCTCCATCTATCCCACCGAAAAGGAATTCATCCATGATGCCACCACCTCAGCCAGCGACTCTGAGATTGAGATTGTCCAAAACTGGAGCGCCAAGGAAGAGGCAGCCGTTCGGCGCAAGTTCGTTCACATTTCCGAGTCCCCCTACTCACGCACTGACACCTTCAGGATCGACTTCATCCTCCTCCCCATCCTGGGCATCGCCTTCTTCGCGCTGCAAATCGACAGAGGAAACATCAGCGCCGCATTAACCTCCACCATCACGGAGGACCTGCGCATAACCACCAACCAGATCAACGTCGGCACGCAGCTGCTCTCCGCGGGCATCGTCATCACCGAGATCCCCTCGAACATTATCCTGCAGCGGATCGGCCCACAGGTCTGGCTCTCCGGGCAGTTGTTTGCCTGGGGCCTTGTGGCGACCTTTCAGGCGTTTGTGTCGAGCTATCCTGCGTATCTGGCGACGAGGCTGTTGTTGGGGATGTTGGAGGGGGGGTTCATTCCGGGTGGGTTTGTCTCCGGGTAGATTAGGCTAGAGTGAAGGCTGACCGAGTAGGCGCGCTTTATTACCTCTCGACATGGTATAAGAAAGATGAGACGAGTTTCCGGACGACGCTCTTCTTCTTTGGGCAGATGTTTGCGGCGGCAACGTCGAGTTTGATCTCGGCGGGGTTGCTGAGGTTGAACGGCAAGGGGGGATTGGAGGGTTGGAGGTGGATTTTTCTGGGTATGCGGCTTGGATCAATGCTGAGGGTGTCTTGGCTGATGGCGTACAGTGGAGGGGCTCATTACCATCTTCGCCGGAGTCGTCTTCACCCTGCTTGTTCCCCCCAAGGCCGGCAATGGGAAGGCGTTGATCAGCGCCGGGCGTTGGAGCTACTTCACCCCCCGCGAATCCCAGATCATTGTCAATCGCGTCCTCCTCGACGATCCTCGCAAAGCGCAAGGCCATGTCAAGATCACAGGCTCGGATATCTGGAAGACGATCCGCCAGCCGCGGACGCTGCAGCACGTCTTCATCACCCTGGTCGCCATGTCGGGCTTCCAGGGCCTCACGCAGTACACGCCGAGCATGATCAAGTCCTTTGGGTTTGCGCCCATCCGAGCCAACGCCCTGGCTTCGGTCCCCATCTACGCCAGCATGGTGTGGACCTTGATCCTCTCGTACCTCGCGTAAGTGCCTGACTCTAACGAGAGGAACACTAGCTGAACGAGCAGTGATCGCATCGGCCACCGCGGCCCCTTTGTCCTCCTCTCCATCACCTGGAACGTCATCTCCTACACCTGTCTGCGCATGACACCCTTCTCCTCGGACAGATGGCACAAGTACGCCGTCCTGACCATCGCCAACGTCGCTTACTGCAGCATGCACGTGCTCAACGTGGGCTGGCTGTCCGTTTACTGCAAGACCCCGCAGGAACGGAGCATCTCCATGGCGTAAGTACTCTTGCCTCCTCGTCTGTCCGCCCGTCTAATGAGCATTCCAAGATTGATCGTCATGGCGGCGAATTGCGCGGGGATCTCCGGCTCGCAGATTTTTCGCACGGCAGATGCGCCTAGATATCGCAAGGCGCTGACGGCCGTTTGCGTGTTGGCGGCTGTCTCGTGGGTGCAGACCTTGGCTCTGGGGGTGCAGTATTTCTTTCGGAGGAGGGATAGTAAGAAGGGTGCCGAGGATTGTTAACTTATTTTACTCTAGACTCATGAGAGCACTGATAATGTCTTAGACATGGGAACCTTCCCGCTGCTTCCTCTATGTTGAAGGTACTATGGAATCAAGTTCAATTGGTGCATTAATTACATCCGGACCTCGCAGTCCACCGTCGCAATAATGTGAATGGCAGAGGTTCGTAAAGGATCACTTGAAGGCAATAAGGTATCAGCAATAGACAGTGCAAATGTCAATCATAAAACCACTCGACTAAAAGGTGTCTCGACGACGATTTCTAGCGTAGTAGACATGATAGTGCGATACGTGTTCAACAACAACTGCCTGGAGGTACCGGTAACAAGAGCTCTAAAGACCAGCAGGAAGAACTGACTTAGAGGACAGGCGAGCAAGGAACCAAAGATGTATTGAAGGGTTGTGGGTGGGATTCAATGCTTGTGACTAAGTACTGTCTCTTTCTCTTGAGATACACTACTGTGGTTTCTCTGTCTTGCACTTATAAGAACCGTCTTGCTTGCTACAATTATCATACCTTCAAGTAATCCGATCGAGGACTTCATGACAACCTGATTGCAACGTGTGCAATGAGCGTATCGCTCCCATCTCTTCCTCTCAAAGATCAAACCCATCGAGCCAACACGCTACGTATCGGGAACCATCAGTCGATCGATATCCGGTCCTATATCTATCAGCCATCATTGAAGTCCAAGGGAGAAAGCGACCTACCATAGCCATCCCCATACCCACTAAAGGTAACGGTATTCGCACTCCCACTCTCAAGCTCAACATGCAACGTCGAAGACGCAGGCGTATTCCCACCCCCCGAGGGCAGAAACGCCAGAACCTGCGCCTTCCCATTCACGCTGACAGTTGCATACCGCTGGCTGGAATCGCCGTTCTCGTACTTCACGCGGATAGTGCTCGTGGTGGACGCACTACTCTCAACGCCTACGATCTGCAGCGTCCCGTCCGACGGCCCGCCAATCCAGCCGACGGATTTGCTGCCGGAGCACCCGCTGCAGGAGAGGACTTTGGCGCCGTTGGAGAGAACGCTGGTGGAGGATTCGGCTTCGGGGGTGGTTTCGGCGGGACCGACGGTCCAGGATCCCTGTAGGGGGAGGATCCAATTTATTTCGTTTTTCTGGTCGGCAGTGTGAGTTATGGTTTCTATAAGGTGAGGTCTGTCTTACCAGTGTGGCGGTGGTTCCGTCCAGGGTCAGAGGCAGCCAGATGTATGTTGATGCCATGAGGTTGGTTGATATCCAACGGTCACCCATGTACCTGATAGGGTTAGACTCATACAATATTTGCTGGAAGGGAGGTATCACATTACTGAGTTGCCAACTCCAAGGATGAAGGTTGTCTGGGAATTGAAAGTGTTTGATCCTGTGGACGCGAAGTTTGCCCAAGAGCTCCAGGTGCCGTTGAGGTTTGTAGAAGTGGTATACTTGTTGTCGTTGGTGGCTATAGATCAGGGTCAGTAGAGCTATGTAGAACGACACAATGGGCACATACACCATCCTGCAGATAGTTAGCCAGAGCAAGCAGAAGAATGAGGGATTAAGGTACCGGTTAACTGTGAACCAAACAAAAAGTACACTCCGTTCTTTTTATACATGGCAGGAGCCTCGATATGCTCCGGAAAGAGGTGCGTAGTAGAAGTCACATTCGTATAGTCGTTGGTCAATCTGTTAATCCTCAGTCCATTTGGACGCTATGGACGTCAGCGTTCCTAAACCAATAAGGTGGATCTCCTAAACCTACATCCTCAGTGAGCAGATACGCCGACCCGTCGTCGTCCTTGAATAAGCCCATGTCGCGCGACTGGTATCCTAGGGGCCGGAACGAGCCTCTAGGCCAGAGAGTTAGGGTTGATCATTGTACATCACACGGTGTCAGGACCTTACAGGTAAGTGTACGTCCCACAAACACTTGACGAAGTCGCAACTCCAGTCTTAGCCTCGGCATAGGAACTGTCATCGATATGCATCCACATCACGTATCTGCGCGTGGCCTCGTTGTAAATGACCTTGGGCCGCTCCACAACCCGGTTGGGCCCGAGATCACCACTACTCTGCCGAGAGAGGAGTTCCCCTACATATGTCCATTCCACGAGATTCTGGCAGGCATTAGCAGCTGGTCGGAGGACTATCAGGGAAGTTCATGAACCTACCTTGCTGGAGTAACAGTTGATAGACTGAAACGCACTCCCGTTGAGCTTGTTTTCACCGATCCAGTAGTAAGTCGAGTCGATTTCGATGATTCCTTGACGGCCACAGGTCTTTAATGATTATGTCCATCTGGGAAAGGTCAAGTATGCTTACCTCCACCGTGCGCTTGGACATGCTGGTTAGTACCACTGGCAGTCCATGTAGCTCCAGGAACCTGGTCATGTTAGCAAGAAGTTATTACCACGTCAGCAATTCTAAGCTAACAATCTGCAGAGAAGCAATGGCTATTTGTGCGAGAGCAAGAGCAGCAATCAGACGGCTCGTAAGCAACATCCTGATAATCCCGTACTTCGCCAGAGATCCTTTGAGTTTGACAATCAAGCGAGATGGTAGCAATCAGTCCTGCAAGCCATGAATATTCTACATTTATACCGTAGAGAAGCGGGGTCGGCAGAAGCATGGAATCAAGGCTTAATTGCGGAGCATCTTCAGCCTGTATTGTCTGCAGCCGGACATATTGTCGGACGAACGGCCGCTGCAGATCAATCTGGAGAAATAGAACCCCACAATCAGCGTCCAACAGGAAAATCATTGTGGACCTAGGACCGGGGGATCTACAAGGCCTGAGACATAGTCCGGGGCAAATCTACCCGACGAATAGCCCGTTGATGATGGAATCTATCAGAGAAATACCATCGCATGTCCATATATCATTACACCGGTAGAATAGCTCAAAGATAAACAAACAAAAGACAAACCCCTCGTATGCAACTCATGATACACAAGGCGAATTATCGAAATAGAGCATCCAGTTCCATAGATCTTCCACATTAAATGACTCAAAGGGAAACAATGTCCCCATCTCGCTGACGCAATCTTCCGTTGTTTCCAGGTCGCTCATATTTCCAGACGGATGAGGATGTATCACACCTTCATTGCCGGCTCCACGCGTCGTTGGTAGATGGTACCCATTCCGTTGATTGAGTGGGCTAAGGACTATTGAATCTGCATCATCTGGAGCTCGTAGTCGCTGATCGAGGAGCTCATAACGGCTCTGATGGCCCGTCGGCCTACCTGATGAGAGGTCCTGACCGACTAGACTGTGTATCGCCGGTAGAGGAATCTGTGCGGCACTGCTATTGCTAGCGTGATCGATGTGACTTGATGGCTGATGGTAGCTTTTGCTCATGTGTGGTATCGAGTATGAACTGGTCGTCTGGCTGTTACGAATGTGTGCCACTACCTGATCATACAGGAAAGCGAGACCTGGGAATTCAGTCAGTGGCATTCTAATAGAGTAGAGATAAAGAGGAGCTTGCCCACCCTCAACAAAGCGAGAATCTGGGTTGCACTGTGAAAACTGTAGAATCGTATACTCCAAGCATGCATTCAGAAGCTTTACAGACACTCATTAGCCACGCCTTCATCTCAGGGGTGAGGATTGACGGTAATTACCTGCAAATCCATCGCCTGAAGCCGAGACCCCGGTTGCTTCACCAAATAGATAGCCAGCACAATCGAGGCTAAAAGAAAAGGACCCCCCGACAGGACGCGCGAATCAGCCTTCCGGTCACCGATCTCCACACTCAACTTGGCAATGGCGCGCGCACTCGCGACGCAGATTGACTCTCCTCTCCGTAACCGATGCTGCGACGGATCCTCCGCACAATATCTGCTCACCTCCGCTTCAAGCCGGGACGAAGCGGCTAGTAATGTAATCATCGCGCTATGATACTGGATAGACAGCATGGCAACGATGTGAAATTCATCCGCCGGGCAAAAGATGTCGTTTCCCGGACGAAGCTCCACGGGGATCTGGTTCGCCCATGCTAACAGTTCCCGGTCCAGCTGTGCGGTGTCTCGAAGGATTTCCTGCACACTACGAGTTCCAAGCTGGCCATGATTATAGATATGCTGGCTAATCCGTCCTTGATACTCTGATAATTGGTAATGCCATTTCAGGAAGTGATGATCCTGTGGGACAAAATCTGGCCCGATTCCAGGAGCATGGGCAGCTATGGCTGTAGGGAGGCCCGAGTCAACCTGCATCATCCGCTCGAGACAGCAGCATGCCGACCATATCAGAGAATACAAACTGCGATCCGCTGCTGTGGCTTGATTCTGTTGTAGCTTTGCAGGGCGGTGAATCCCAAGAGAGTACGCCATCCGAATAGCCATTCCTATTGCTTGCCGGCCAAGACCCTCCTGATTCCGGCTGCGATATGTGATGGCGAAGAGGACCAGCGCCTGGACGGCGGGGACGTATGGAAGAACAATGAGATGCGACAAGAGCCCGGTGGCAGCTCGAAGATAGAGCTCGCCATCCCTGGTCACACTCTGGGATGACTCGTCTGCTCCAAGGCTCATAATCAAGTATGCACTGACCAGTGACGGTACCCTTTCGCGCGACAGGTGACTGAAGCCATCGCTGCTATCGGCAAGTTGAGTCACGGCATTCCGGAGCTCGTCAAGATCAAAGATCGGGTAGAGAATATAAATCCGCGTGCAAAAGGCTTTTAGATATCGATCTCGCGTCTCCTGGGTTGGCAGTGGTGGTAGGGATGGTGTTAGTGGAATATCCAGCTCCTCGGAATGTCTCATCCCATATTGGAAGACCCCTGAGACAGGCTGCAGATGTGCAGCTTTGAGAAACACGTCAAGTGACTTGGCGAGACACTGGGAGCTGGTGCCCCCTACCACTTTCATCCGATTGGTGCCATGTTCGATGTTCTCGGACGTTTTAAACGGATGATGAACAGGCGACTCATCGTTCGTAGCAGAGACAGCATCGCGCTGTACCGCAACAGCTGCTGCAACATGCTCAACTACGGGTCTCTCATCCTGAGGCCGAGGCACACCATTGCCACTAGTGACACCGATGCCTGGCGATCTTTCAGGAATGTCGATCCATTCCCGTAAGCCAGGAATTCCGGGCCGTTGAGGATCGGTAGTCACACAATCCTGGTTTCGAACGCGACAGTTCTTGCATCTGGGATAGTCCGCATCACATTTGACCTTGCGCTGCCGGCAGAGGTTGCAGGCCATAGACAGGCGCGGTCGCTTCGGGGCCGACGGCCGATCCATTTCGGCGGTGTTGCTTCACAGTATTGCATGCATCATACGAGACTTGGGCCACTTCAGAGGGGTTAATTTGCATTATGACCGAAGTACTCCGAGGTGACAATTGACAGTTGCAGCCAGCATATACAAGACAATCATTCATTACCCCAGACCGACAACAAGGGCAAATGCGGGGTAGACCATGTGGGGGCTGCCGCGTGTGGGTCTGGGCCGGCAATGCAGCCAATCGGCTTGTCGTATGCATCACACCCATTCGGCCTGTTCAGGTGACCTGGCATTCTCAGCCTGAGGCAGCTCGGCTCCAATCGGTGTACGTCTATTTCTAATCACTGCTCCCGGAAACTCAATGAAAAGGGCCAAGTCCGTCTTAAATAGATCCACAAGCTCACAGCTCAACACTCTGAACGAAGAACATGACTCGGTGCAAACACTATCCTCATGAACTATCCTGAAGCGTGACCATGCTCATCAAAGCGGCCGTGAGAACCTCCTTGGTTGCCGGAGTTTGCGCTCCGTTCTATGTACCTTATACTCGGTCAAAAGTACCGGCTCAGTGCCTATCAAAGACAGTTCACAGGTAAGCTCGATCAATCCTGAATCGAGGTTTCGGCGTAGAATCTACCTGCTGATCTATCTGAGTAGAGAATACCCTGCCATCGGTCCACTGTTTCATCTATATTGATTAGGGTCGGATGTTCTGGAGTCCTGGGTTGTACCACAAATGTACAGACAGTTACGCATGAATGTAGACAATGAGGAAAACGATGCAAGTATGAGAATCTAATACTAGCTGGGTAGAGATGGTTGTCTATGGCATGCAAGCTGCAAGCGGAGCCTCAAGAGCAGAAGTGGAATATCTTCGGCATAATAATAATGATTGACCTCTCATTCACAGGAATATATAGTTGACTCTTAGCCTAGTATTTGAGGTGGCCTGGTTCAAGGGATTATTGAAGGCTTTTGATCAGCCCCGAAACAACGTGATTATCCATATTCTCATCTCTAAAGTCGAACGGGATCATATATTTACTTGATGACCTCAGATAAAAGGCAAAATGACTGAACTGGGGTAATCTCCACCACAATGAACGAAATGCTTCCCCCGATTCAACTCATGCTCCGGACGGGGCTTCGACCACGTCTTATACTCGGCAATACTGGGATATTGACCCGAAACCTGCAAGCAATTAGTATCATCAAACTTGAAAAGGAGGAAATGAGCTTACCCGTAGGCTGATCGACTCTCCGGCGTCAAAATCGACGCCCATCGCCCAAATACCAATCTCCAACCGCACAATCTGTCCAGGCTTGATCTTTTCCTGCTTCCTGTGAGGATGGAAGGAAAACTGGGGGTGGATGCTCTTCGATTCGTCAATGGCCCGGTGAGAGGCACGGAGGATACCCACTGATCCCAGGTGAAGGTTCAGACTGGCCTGGTCCTTGGGAGGGATCTGATCGATCGACTCGACAGGCGTGGCTTCAATAGGGAAGTTCAGGTGCATCAGTGGCTTGCCATTCTTATCGAGCTTGCGCAAGATGGCAAAGACGACGAAGTCATCGCGATCCTCGCAGGACATATACAGGACGGCCTTGGGGAGACCGATCAGTCTCGCTGGCTGGTCAAAGGTATGAGTGAAGGCGAGGAAGTCGCTGGACTTTTCCGAATCATAGGACAATGTTTCGTACTTGGCGACCGGGCTCTGGCTGAGAGACTTGTCTCCGGACAGGAAGAACTCGCGATACTCGGTGTTGGGGACAGGAAAATCCTCGAGGACAATATTATTGATGGCGGGACGATCGCCAAACTGCAACGCCGACCAGCGCACCTTGGGGGTCTTCTTCTCCCATCCATTGCCAAGGCCCTTGAGGTAGCGGTCGAAGAACACTCCCAGCTCTTCCATGGACTCGGGGCAACTGTACAGTTCATACCACTCCTGCTTGCTGCCCCATTGAATCCATTTCTGGTCGTGCGGGATCTCCAGCCACGCCCGGACAGAACCCATCGTGTGAATGGAACTGACGTCGGATCCGCGGATGTACACCGGGAACTGGATCTTGGTCATGTCCACGCGCTTATCCTCCCAGAAGGGATTGGAGACCGGGGAGCGGCGGTACATCTCCTCGAAATCTTCAATGCCGGAATTCTCGTGCCCTCGCACAATCTCCTTGGTGATCAGATCGAAATTGCTCATAGAGAACCATCCGCCGCGACAGAACTGCTCGCGGTAGATATCGCCCGAGCCCTCCCAGGGCGCGATGGCCTTGAGCGAAGGGGGCTGCTGCGAAGCAATGAACCACTGCGAGATAGCCAGAGCCGAGTTGCCAGCCATACCGATGCAGCCATTGCACCAGTCCATCTTTGCAATGGCTTCGACAACATCGTATCCGTCTTCGGCTTCCTGCTGACCCATAACCCCGATCAGACCGTCGCTGTTGCCGGCGCCACGCGAATCAACTCTAACGATCGCGTAGCCTCTAGGGCACCATGCCTGGGGATCGAGGCCTTCAAACTTTTCTAAACCGCTTAGGTCTGAGCTGGGCACGCAGCATTTCCATGTGCACATGGGCAGCATGTCCAGCGCGCTGTATTTCTTGCCATAGAAGGACCAGCTCAGAACCGCGGGGACGGGCTCTGTGATGTCCGCCGGGCGGTAGACGTCGACGTACAGGCGAACGCCATCGCGCATGACGATTTCCACATTGTGGTCGACGCGAATGGGAGACTTCAAAGGCTTTGCGTTGAAGCCGTTCCATCCGGCGGGAAGGACTTCAGTCTTGCCGGGGTGGAAACCAGTATAGCCATTCTCCCCAATCTGGGGGCGCTTGATGCGCTTGTATGCGGCTTGAAGAGGAGGGGGCATTCTAGATAGTATGAATTACTTGATGGACTTGACAGGGGGGATATTCTTGTCGTGAATAGGGCTCATTGAATTAGGGGATTTCTCCCCTCTTATACACAAGATTGCGAATATGTGTAACCTCCTCTTTGGTATCGATATGTGCCATATCTGGGACTCCATCATCTCGCAATTACCGATGTGGAGGCGCATCTTCCCTGAGCACTGTCTCCTCGAAGATGTTCATCTTTGGCGTCTTTTGTCATGAGACTTCGGGGCTTTAGCGGCCGAGCATTCGGGCACTAAACAAAGGCCGATGCTATTCCCAACGCTCAATGAGAAGCTCCCAAATTTCGGGGCTCTCCCCCACAGTCTTGCCCTCCGAATGTGGCTCCGAGATGGGGCCGAGATGCTGTATGTTCCGAACAAAAGCCCTCGGCGGCATAGAGGCTCAGGACCTGGACAGCAAGATGGCTGGCATTTACTTAAGTGAGTCTCAAACTCCCGACTACCTGCACATTACGATGCACAGAATTCATTACTCAGACAGAAAAAAGCATCAACTCTAATACTGTCATAATGTCTACTACTACTATCCTGGAGACCGCTGCTGCGAATTACGAGAGCTACACCATCAAAGATCTCGTAGACTTCAGCGACAAAATATAGGGCGACCGGCGCGATGAGTTCCACAAGAACGGTTGCGTCGTGCTAAAGAATGTCATCAGCCCCGAGCGCGCCAAGTACTACTGCGACAAGCAGATCCAGTGGCTCAAGAACTTTGACTTGGGCTTCGATGAGAACGACGAGAGCACCTGGACGGCCGAGCATCTGCCCATCAGCTTCAAGGGAGGGTAAGCACATCTTTTGGAGCAACAACATCAAAGTCGATCAGCTGATTGAATGTCTATACAGAATGTACTATGCCTACGCCGCCGCTCATGAGAAGATGGCGTGGGAGGCACGTACCGAGCCCGCCGTGATTGAGATCTTTGAGAAGCTCTGGGAAACCAATGAGCTACTCTGCTCCTTCGACGGCATGAACATCTCCCTACCTCGGCGCAAGGATTTGAACTGGTCCCCCTGGCCGCACTGCGATCAGAACCCGAACCGCAAGGGGTAAGCCGGAAGCCATTGGAGTATAGTCTACATAACTCTAACCATTCCCAGAATGCAAGCCGTCCAAGGCCTCCTGAACTTTGCCCCCAACGGACCCAAAGACGGCGGCCTCATGCTCATGAAGGGCTCCGCCAAACTGTTTGATGAGTTCTTCGCCCAGAAGCGCGAGCAGTACGACCACGAGGACGCCCCTCCCCCAGAGCTCCAGTACATGGATCTGTTCCTCTTCCACGAAAAGGACCTCAAGTGGTTCGAGGACCGCGGCTGTGAGATGATCAAGGTCAACATGGAGCCCGGCGACTTTGTCCTCTGGGACTCGCGCACGATGCACTATGCCTGTCTGCCCGAGGGCAACCAGATCCGCCACGTCCAGTACATCTGCATGACACCGCGCCGGTTCGCCACCCCCAAGGCGTTGGAGTTGAAGAAATACTGCTTTGAGAATTTCATCGGCACAACGCACTGGCCTCACTGGTATGTTGTCCTCGATCTACAACATGGACGGAAGCTGATCAATGATAGTAACATTCGTCCTGCCGCGGAGAAGCCTATGAGGAACGGAAAGGTGTGCCCCAAGGATCGAAGTGAGCCGTTTGAGAAGCCAGTCCTTACGGAGAGATTGCTTCAGCTGGCGGGTGTCAAGGATTACTAGACAGTTTGCAATCGAGTCGAAGTAGATTCAGCATATATTTAGTGGTTAGATGTGAATGGTATCTCTTTTTCAGGAACCAATGACTTTTCTGTCTCTGTCCTTAAGAGTTCGTTTTTGTCCGTATAGATGGCAGTTGGTCATTCCGGGCATTTTTGCTCAGGATGACTTTCTGGAACTCCTCAATTACAAAAGCCCGACTATCTTAATCCATTAACTGTCGATTTTCGAAAAAGAGAAGGATATCCCTCCATACAGCGTGGACCAAGTGCTCCGATGAGCTGCCAAAGGCCCAAAGCTGCCATACCTCTTGTCAACCTTAATATCCTATCAGCAAACATCACATCAAAGTCAATCCCCCACAGTTTCTGCCCACTGCTGCCGGGAGCGGGGGAGGCGAAGGCATAATAAAGCCGTATGGCCTATGAAAGGGCAGCTCGGGGGTCACGGAGCCAAAACCAGAGACAGAGATTAAGTTAGCGCCAAGCCAGCAAAGGACCCGGGGAAACTGACTTGTCATAATTGACCTTTTGCAGAGCTCCCACTCGGTGGGGGCCCAGAATTGCTCGAGCTCTCCCTCTCTGTAGCTGTCCTCGACCTTTTAAGTACTACACGCCGCAAGGCCCATTCGCATCATGGTCAATCGTTCAGCCAGACTCAGCTTCTCCATTGATTTACTTGTTTCCTAGGACATATTTCCTTGTCCCCTGAAGGACATTGCCCGTTACCATGACCGACATTGTGGGTGAAGTTAAGAAAGACATGACTAGTCATGTTGAGGATGTCGAGGTCGGCCAGACTGCACCTAAGAAGTCCCATGTCATGGGTACGGTGAAGCTGGACGATGGAGCGATTGTGTATATCCCCACGCCTACTGCGGATCCCCAGGGAGAGGATTCTTCCTGTCGAGCCAGCATGACCGGGGATTGACTTACTACGATAGATCCCCTCAACATGCCTACCTGGCAGAAGGGCATTATCCTTGTCGTCATATCTATATGTGAGAGCACCTAGTTCCTTTCAAAAGTCTCTGCTAATTGATTAGTTTCAACTCTTGGTCTTGCTCTCGTCTCCGGTTTCGGCGGGTTGCTCGGATTCTACATTCCTCGATATGCTGCCGCGGGCAAGGGCTACGATGATATTACGCATCTGATGACTTATCCGAGTCTTTTCATGTAATTTCTCTCACGCTTGGGAAGTATAGGCAACAGCTAATTTGCTTTGAGGGGCATCGGGAATCTGATCGGTATGCCGATTGCCATTGGAGTCGGCCGACGCATCGTCCTCCTGGTATCGACCATGATTTTGGTCATCGGCGCCGTTCTGTGTGCGTTGGAGAAGAATTACGAATGGCATCTGGCATCCAGGATGGTCGTTGGTCTTGCTGCTGGACAGAGCGAGGCATTGGTGCCGATGATCACACAGGTGAGTCATGCGAGAGGACATATGAACATTCTGAGCTGACTCTGACAGGAAATCTTCTTCCTCCACGAACGCAGCAAAGCACTCATGGGCCAGCAGGCGATCCAGGTTTCTCTCACAGCGGTCTGGGTCCTTTTTGCCGGTCCATTGCCGAAGCGATTACGCCTCAGTGGTGGTATGGTCTCGGAGCAGCTCTGGCCGGCGTCCTGCTGCTTGTGGCATTCTTCTTTCTTCCAGAGACCAAGTATGATAGATCTGCGGCTGCTTATCAGGAAGATACAAGCAGCCAAGATGCGTTCGATGATGAGAAGCAGTCCGCATTGCACGGCCTCTGGACGACACGTCCTCCTCTAGACTTCGAGAGCTACGAGGCACGTACTTGGAAGTCGGAGTTGCGTCTCTGGGTCGGCAGGCCAGACTGGCACAGGGTGTGGGAAGTACTGGAGGTAAGCTTTGAGCGACAAAATACGGCTTCATGTACTGACAAGGTCTCAGCAAACATTCCAGCTGCTGCTCTTCCCCCAAGTCCTCTGGGCTCTTCTCCTCAACGGTCTTACCATCGGCGTCAACATCGCCATCGGCACCACGTACGCTACCATCCTCTCCGGCGCCCCTTACAGCTGGCCCGACAGCAGCGCCAGCTACATCAACTGCGGCCAGATCGTCACCGCACTCGTTGCCCTTCCTCTTTTGGGCCATGGATCGGACTACCTCGTCAAGTACTTTGCCCGCCGCAACGGAGGCCTGCACGAGCCCGAGGTGCGCATCATCCCCTTGATCCTCCCCATCATCGTCGGCGTCTTTACATCCGCTCTGTACGGTGAGGGCGCACAGCATCCTGACCAATACCACTGGTTCGTGTATGCATGGGCCGTGGCCGCGTACTACTTTTGCTTCGTGGGGGCGAACATCGTCGCCATCACGTATCTGCTGGACAGCTACCCTACACGAGCAGGCCCATTGCTAGTCATCATCTGTGCTTTCCGGGGTATTATTTCCTTTGGAACGAGCTATGGTACAGCCCCCTTCATTGCCTCGCACGGATATGACGGCGCCTTTGGCACTTTTGCTGGCTTGACGGGTGCCTTGGGTCTGCTGGGTATCCCGGTATACTTCTGGGGGAAGAAGATCCGTCAATTCACCGGCCGGTTTGCAAGGGACGAGAGTGATTGAGGAGTGGAATCAGTGTTGTGGTCTGTGAGAATCACATTTATGTGAAGTAATGATGGAGATGTCAGTGCATATGAAGTACGTAAGCTATAATTAAACAAATGTAATTTTCCTGCTTTCCCAGAAACTATGAAACGGATCACTAGTCACAATAACTGTTCACTCCAGAGTACTCTACTTGAATGATAGAACAGCAATAGCCCGGGCTGTGTTTGAGTTTACTACCAATCATTCCAAGAGGGCTGATTCTTCTCCGACTGCGTCATCAGAACCGATAGAATGCCTCGCGGCCCAATAGAGATTGCAGAGCAAAATCGTATACGAGCCTTACATCTGCCAAGAGCGGGAAGCCCACGCGCTTAGTGCGTATGACTTGGATATAAGGGTGACGGAGGAAAGTTTGAGCCGAGATCGGGATTCCTCCGCAGTAGTTAGTACTCACTGGTCTGATCTTGCTGCACAGCTAGCCCGCTAACATACATAAACGAGCCTTCAGACTGGAGGCTAGTGAGCCTGTATATCAGATTATACCATGCCTTGATTCCATTGCAATCGTCAGTAGCGATAACTATATCTCAAGCATTCCTCGATAGTCATAATCACCAACTCACTATCCACATTCTCACCATGACAGATACTCAAGATACCAAAATCACCCTATACTGGTAACCCATGACTCTACTGCGCCGCGCAATGCCAGAAGACAACTAACGGGAACCAGGCTGGAGAAGTCCCGTGCCCAACGGATCGTCTGGCTCCTGGAAGAACTCAACCTCCCCTACGACATCAAGACCTTCAAACGCAAAGCGGACATGACAGCACCCGACGAATTGAAGAAGATCCACCCCCTGGGTAAATCCCCCGTCATCACCATCGACACACCCAACTGCCCCGAGCCACTCGTTCTGGCAGAGTCCGCGGTGATCATCGAGTATCTCTGCACTCACTTCGGCGGGGAGAGGCTCATCCCGGAGCGATATGCCGAGGGAAAAGAGGGCCTGATCGGCGTTGAGACGGAAGCGTGGATGCGATACCAGTATTTCATGCACTATACCGAAGGAAGTCTGGCGCCGTTTCTGGTGATGAAGGTGGTGATGGATGGTAGATTCATGGATCTCTCGTTGTGGATGATGTACTGATGAATTCTCAGGTGTGAGGAGTGCACCCGTGCCGTTCTTCATCAAGCCAGTGACTAGAATGATAGCGGCCAAGGTGGAAGGGGCCTTTATCAATCCCAACCTCCATACGCATCTTGGCTTCCTGGAAGACCAGCTCAAGACGGCGCCCCCGGGCGGTCCTTATCTTTGTGGAGATATGATCACGGCTGCCGATATTCTGCTGAGCTACTCGGTCATCGCGGCGTTGTCGAGGCTGACATCCCTTCGAAGTCGGTATCCCGGAGTAGCAGCCTATGCAGATCGGCTGCAGGCCTTGGACAGCTACAAACGGGGCGTTGCGCAAATTGAGAGGATTGAGGGGTCATTCGAGGCTAGTTTATAAGTCTGGTCATTTTGCCCAGGTCAGCCGAAATCAAGACCTTTTGTGCCGGGCATTGTCCTATTTTGTAGACATAGTCAAGTCAGCCCAAGTGGTCGCAATTCCTATGGTTTTTGCAGACGGGAAAGCAAGCATATATGTAGATGGATCAATGACAGCTCTACTTTACAAATGATCTAAACTAGTCCTAATAAATAATTAACTGGCTCTATTCAGCAACGGTTAAAACAAATGCCATTTAACTAACAGTGATATAAAGGCCTAGTTTTTTAGTCTATTGCTGAGATATATACTTAGTTTCTCTCTGCCTCCCAAGCAAGTAGCATCATTGGTCTAGTGGTAGAATTCGTCGTTGCCATCGACGAGGCCCGTGTTCGATTCACGGATGATGCATTCTTTTTTTTTCTTTTCTCCTCTCCATAAACCCATTTCCTTAACCCTTGACTTTTTGAGGTGCATATTCTGATAGTGAAAAAATGTTGATGAGAAATTTCCCGGTTAATCTGGCTCGTACAGCAGATTTGTCTTCTCATATGACTAACAGGCTCCGAAGTCCACCATAACATCACGAAAGAATATAAGACATCAGAAACAACTCATTCCTTGAGAACTGCACTGAGAATGGTCCAGCCACTCGGTGCTGTCTTTCTGATACTCGTATCATTCTTCAAGAAGCAGCGATGGGTGCGGTTGGTGGACGAAGGCGCGGTTTCATCCCAGCTCACTCCCTTGCATGGTTCTCCCTTGATTATGTTGTTGTAAACCACACAGCGCTGGATGCACTGTTCAAGTGAATTCGTCTTGAAGTTTACGAGGTCGTTGTCGGAAATGGTGACGCTCGCACAACCACCCGTGTCAGAGCAGAGATCCGTGTGGCATAACTGGATATAGTCCGTTTGCTGGACGGTGATTGTCGTCCCATTCGCCATTGGACAGCTTGTGGCGCTGGAGGTCGCCGAAGTCGAAGTCGAAGTCGAAGTAGAGGCGGCTGTTGCGGTCGAGGCAGGGCTAGAGGTTCTTCTCATTCATCACCAAAATCAGCATTGTTGGATTATGACAATATTCTCTGCTTCAAGAGAGAGACACCCACCCGGAGTCCTTTTTCGCCAGAGACCCGCCTACACCTCCTCCCACAGCTGCTGCAATGACAACCACTGCAACCACAACCCCAATCCAGAAATACCGGCGCCGGAACCCGCATATTGTTCGCGGAGCATCTGTCGCACTTTTAACTTCTTGACCTGGGCCATGGCCAACCTCTGTTTCGACGGGTATCGGTGCGTCGGATCCATCCCCGGCGTAATAGAGGGGTGCATCTCTCTCATACTGGGGTATCAGACCATCGGGTATCGCCACTTCAAGACCAGCCTGTTCAGGAGAACTGGGCTGCTTGGTTTCCATTGTGGGTAGCACGGAGCTTTGTGTGATGTGATCAGGACATCTTGTTTGAGAAAAGTAAATGTCAGCCGCAGGGGTGATGTGGAGCTTAAAGGGTCTTGGGTTGATGGCCAAGAAATGATGAGCATGAGATGAGCCTTTCAGGCTAGGTAATTAGTCGAATACAGTGAGCCAATGGTTGTTTTCATGTCGGTTGGTTTGCGGCTAAGCTTAAGACAAGGCTGAGGATGACGGTTATTCTACTCTCAAAACAGCTGTGATGGGAGCTGTACTGCGAATATCTTACTTTGAGCTTCAGGTTGGTACTGGGCCTGTTTCGTTATTGTATCCTCTTATATATAAACAAATAAAATAGAGCAGGAAAAAGGGAGAAGGAAATCAATCAAGACAGACCACTGAAGCCAAGCACGAACATTGAGTTTTGTACTAACAGCTAGTGCTGAGTACTGACCATTTATAAGCCTATTAGAATAGCACAGGCTTCGTATTATCAGTGGCTGTGCAGATCTAAGTCGATCATTCCTAGAAAGAGAATCACTGACAGCATTGTCTCCGATTCAGAGTGCTCATAGCTGGTGATAATCCCCCATCATAATGGTGGAGTCCATAACATGTGTATGAGTTCTGTTTCTAGATCCCAGTACTCAATAGAACAAAGCAAGTAGGATCATCAAAGTCCTACAGCTCTATGCCCTACGGTCCTACAGGGACTACTATTTACAGTTATTTCTATCTATTGTGAGAAACATGCTATGGTGCTATCTCCTGTGCCCAAGCTTATAATAGCTCGAATCTTGTTCATCATGTCTTTTCATATTTTAGAGAGACGTGGTGAAATTCCATGTTAGACCCACTGCTTCATGCATCACTTTTGAATAACTCTAGCAGTTGTTCCCTCTCTGCTCAGCTGTTGTTCTTTTCTTCATTTTCATAAGATATACATTGTCGGTTCTGTACCTGTCTGTTAACAAGAAGTGAGTAGGCTGGGTGTCCGGGGGATCGAACACGGTAACCTCATCGACCAGGAGACGGCGGAGCTGATGGCGGAGAAGGGCGTGTTCTTGACCCCGACGCTGACCGCGCATGCCGCGTCGAAGCAGATGAACTTCCTTCCGCCGGCTAGCGCAGCGAAAAACGACGAGGTTCTTGCCAAGGGTCTGCGGGCGATGAAGATGGCGGTTGATGCCGGCGTGACGGTGTGCTTTGGCACGGATCTGCTGGGTCCGATGCACTTTGCGCAGAGCAACGAGTTCTCTATTCGGAGCAAGGTCTTGTTGTGTTTGCAGATTCTGCAGAGTGCAACGGTCAATGCGGCCAGGCTGTTGATGCAGGCAGATCGACTCGGTCAGGTCAAGGAAGGTTTTGCGGCGGATATGTTGGTATTGAATGAGAATCCGCTGCAGGACATTACGAGCCTGGAGAAGGTGGACGAGAATATCCTGGGAGTCATCAAGGACGGAAGAATTGTTACCTCGCGGTGGGACAAATTGAAGGCTGAGATGTAATGCTGCAGGGAAGATGGTTTATATTTCCACAGACTATGATTGATTTGATTGCACAGTATCAGAACAAGAAGATAGAAGTAAGATGAATAAACTGGCAGATAATGATATGCAAATTCCACCTGTATATATCTAGAACAAAAGACCAGCGCTGGCTTTACATTCGATGATTCCTTCTGAGGTCTCAATATCTCACTCTTGCCAGATTCGGATGATATATATGCGACATGCTATTATGGCCCAGTCGATGAGGTATCACTTGCCTACTTATCTCTGTCTGTAAGAGTCTTCTCATGTGCAAGATCCTGACTGGACATATCTATACAACATGCAAGTGAAGGGAAACGGTGACATGTTTCGTTGGACGGCTGGAGACCAAAAGACCAATTCCCAATGGTAATATCAAACTGTTATTCGAAATTATAGAGGCAAAGTAATCCAGATGCTGTCCGGGATGTTTCGCATGATGTATTGAAGGGAGCCCTTTATGGCCAAGAGACTTGCTCTTCCTCATCGAGGCAACATATAATGATGGGAAATTCAAACTAGGACTGCTATATACATCTATTCATTCATGAATGGCGAGCACTAAGTAAAGGACAAAGATTAAGGATTTCTCACCAACTTGGCTGTGACCCCAAGTCATTAGTTCTGCAGCATAAGCGTATAGATGATGCAGTAATTTCTTCAAGCATGTTGCATGTGGAGACTCGCCAGCTCTTCCTGAGTTCCTACTCACAGATAATGAATATTTTCCCGTCTGAACTGCGGGGCAGCCGATGCACATCGTCCCAAATATTATAATTCGTTGAATCTAGCTGCAGCATCAGAGTGTACCGATTCTCGATTCAGCTTCCTTACTTAGCTGCAGGAAGCTAGCTCTTAGCGAAGCAAACAGACTTGTCAACGTGTCACCTCAAGCATCGTGAGTGCCGATTGCGCCCATTCTATTTCACATCAGAATTTGAAGTCACGGACCTGGCCTCTTTTCGCAAGCCATTTGATCTGGGAGTCTAGTGTCATGGGTCACTGGTAATAGTATCCTAGGACTAAGGCAGAGATCACAATGGCTGTCTTTGCGGTGATCGGGATAGGACTGGTCATCTACTGGGTCATCCAGAGCATTTACCGGCTGTATTTCCACCCGCTGAGCCATATCCCCGGACCGAAACTGGCTGCAATCACCCATGGCTACGAATTCTATCACAATATCATCAGGGGCGGTCTCTTCATCTGGGAACTCGAACGATTGCACCAAGTATACGGTGAGTACATCTTGATACAGACAAGCTGAGACAGCTAACCGTCTCAGGACCAATCATCCGCATCAACCCGCGTGAGGTCCACATCAAGGACCCCGACTACTACGATGAGATCTACGCCTCGAGCCTCCGCAAGCGCGAAAAGGATCCCGTCCTGATCAAGCAGTTCGACCTCGAAGGCTCCAGCTTCTCCAGCATCGACCCGGAGTCTCACCGGCAGCAGCGCGCACCCGTCGAGAAATACTTCTCGAAGCGAGCCATCGAAAAGATGGAGGGTCTGATCCACGATAGCCTCGACAGACTCGTCTACCACTTCAAGGAAGCCTATTCCTCGCATCAGGTCGTCAGCCTGGACGCGGGATTCGCAGCGTTAACTTCCGACGTTATCCACAAGTACGTGTACGGGTTCAACCCCGGCAACGTCGACAAGGAGGGGTTTAACGCCAAGGTCAGAGACGGGGTCAACGGCCTCTTCCGACTGGCGCACCTTCTGTACTTTTTCCCCATCTTGCAGACCATCATGAACTTGACGCCGCTGGGGTTCCTGCGCAAGTTCAACCCCCCCGCCTTCGCTCTTGCCAGTCAGAAGAAGGAACTGTACGATCGGGCCGCGGCCTCGCTGGAGAATGCGCACTCCAAGGACAGCGGCACCGGGGCTGTGATTGATGCTCTTGCGGCGCCGACGATGCCGGCGCGCATGCGCAAACCGGAGCGGCTGATGAACGAGGGATTTTCCCTGGTGATTGGTGGCACGGAGACGACGGCTCGGTCGCTTGCGCTCGGCGCGTGGCATTTGTATAGCCGGAAAGATATTCGGAACAAGCTCAGAGAAGAATTGAAGCAGGTGATGCCTGCGCCGGATTCGAGAACAACCTGGAATCAACTGGAACAGTTGCCTTATTTGGTGAGAATCCTCACCCCGGAGTTAAGAGTTTACATCACTGACCCTGACAGTCTGCCGTTATCGCTGAATCCCTGCGTCTCTCTACTGGTATCGCGAGTCGCTCCGCAAGAGTCGCGCCTACCGAGGCGTTGGTATATAAGAACTACACTATACCACCGGGGGTCAGTCCGTTAATCTAGAAACCCAGGAGCAAGCTTAACAAAGATGCATAGACCCCCATCAGCGAAACAAACTACTTCGTCCTTATGGACCCCGAAATCTTCCCCGACCCGCACGCATTCGACCCCGAAAGATGGATGCGCGCTGCTGCAAAGGGACAGCGGCTCGATCGGTACCTGGTGAACTTCTCCAAGGGAAGCCGGATGTGTGTTGGCTTGAAGTATGTGTTGTATCTCTTAGCAGCTGTTCACTACTGACTGTGTAGTCTGGCATATGCGGAGCTCTTCCTAGTAATCGCGACGATGGTGCGCCGGTTTGATATGGAGCTGTATGAAACGCCCAAGAGCAATATTGATCTTGCCCGGGATTTTGGCACCCCGTACCCTGAGAAGGGGAATTTGAGTGTACGGGCGATTATTACGAGTGTCATCGAGTAGTGTACATTAGTTTGTGATCAAGTGTGTATCCTAAGTGAGTGAGGGACTATGATACGCAGACATTCTATGCATCGCTATAATTCTGAATCCTTATACAGACTACCAGCAGTAAGTTCAGCAATCTACCATAATGCTAACCAAGAGATACAAAGGAAAGGAATATACACCGTTGAAAGATCCCAACCACAACCCCTCATTGATTTTCTGTGCTCCAATGAAAGCCACCTTCACCCAAATATTTATCATAATATCCTCATGATTCGACTCAGCTGTATGTTGCTATTCATGAAGGACAAAAGAAAAGATTTCACATGGCAACAAGCAGGACAGAAGATCTCCACTTAGGATGACAGGAAACAGCTAGACAATGACTGAAATCACCAAGTCTCATAATCCATGATACAGACAGGAATGATAGCGGGGGAATCGTGGTTCTAGGCCAGCTACTCCGTAGGTAAGGTACCTTAAAGGTAGAATATTCTATTTCTAGCCTTCTGGGGAAACTAACATGTGACTAGTTACGCGCAGTCGCTTAGTAAGTTTATGCCTTACGCCTTACATCTCCTGTTTCCGAGCCTTCTCACCCAGGAAGGCCATACTCTATTGAATCTTCAGAACAGGCTCTCAATCCAGGCGCCCTGCCTAGGATAAGGGACAGCTCCCCCTCCGCGCGCTGCCTGACACCCGCCCGGCAACCA